GATAGTCACACTTTCCTCCCCTGAAATAGACATAGAAGGTCTCTTCTATTAAAGTGCTTTGAAATCACATGCAATCAGTGCCGGGAAGCTGCGTGCTGTACTGTGTTTGATGAATCGCTGTCAGCAGCAGTCCTTCCCTTCCCAGATGTTTCCATCCTGGCAGTGCTCTCTGTCAGGCTGCTACAGGTGTCACGAGCAGGCACAGAGCACCGATCCAAGCCAGCTTTTACCCTTTTCCTACCAGATCATGCACACGTTTGTGCTTTACAGCCAGGCTGCCCACAGTGCAGCCACAAAAACAACAACAGATGTACCAGCATGGCAGAGAGGTAATGATGGAAACAGAGCATTCAGCAAAACTATCACTGAGCATGAAACTGTAACCTTAGTGCTTATGTGATTCATACTTAACAATACGATTTAACAGGACAGTACTTCTAGTTTAATAATGAATTTAAACAAACAAAACCTGCAGCCAGACTTGCTAGGTTGGAAAAATCCTTTGTGTGTCAGCACTGACCAACATCCCAGCTATGATGTCTGCTTTGTGTGCTTTGTGCTATTCAGCTCATTGTGTGCACACTCAGTTATTGCATTCCTGATGCTCTCCAGTTTTGCCCACTGTGAAGGCACTGCTGAATGGAGCAAGCAAGAATTCTACATGAGGGCTACTGAACCAGACCTTCTGTTAGTAATAGCTCTTGCTAAGAGATTTTATGGGACAAATTCCATTCAGTCAGAAGCTGCAGGACCACACATGCATCCAGAGGCACAGTCTGCCCAGAATTGTTTGCAGTGGGCTGCCAACCTGATTTCTTTTAGTTCATTTTGTGAGACTAACTTGGCTTCTGTGCCATGTTGCACAGAAAGCGCCTCCCCCTGTACATCCCGATCCAAGAACTGCAGGCTGGGCAGTAATCTCTGTGGAAACAAACCTCAGACCTCTCTCTGCTGTTATGTAACAAGATAAATCTGCAGTTCTTATTACACCCAGCCAAGCTGCAGCAAACAGTCGGAGTTTCTAGTCCACAGAAGAACAATAGGGAATCTGGGAGAAATGCAAAACCCATCACATTAACGGTAAAGATCAAAGTCTTTTCCACAGCTGACTTCTAAGCTTTTTTTCTCTTTTATCTCCAGCTTTCGGCAGGATGAGGAAAGATTTATGCCTGGCAGTTTCACACGGTTAAGTTTAATAGGATGCCAGTAGCAGCTGTCAAAGGCAGAGTCAATTGTTCTTCCCCAGCTTTGGGAATGGGCTTGCTCTTCTTGCCACACTCTGAAGAGATTAAACCTGACATGACTTCCTAGGACTTGATTTCCAAGGACCTGCCCAAACTATCACTAAGCAAATAGCTCTGTAGCTATATCCTCCCACTGCACGCATGTACAAGTCAGTACGTACATACACATACATGCACCACGGGGCACACACACATCCACAAACACCTCACAGAAGAAAATATATGTTCTTTCTAGGAACAGGGAAGGTCAGGCACCCTCCCTGAACTCCGTGTGAACCATTTCCAACCCTGAGCTTGTACCTTCTCTGCTGTTTGCCTGATGCAGCTTTCGGAATGAACAATGTCAGCTTTCTCTGTCCTGCCTCTCAACTGGGCTCTTTTTTTTTTATTTTATATTTTCCACCTGCGGAAAAAATTGAAAATGCATGGAAGACTTTCTTTGAGAAGAAAAATGCAGAGAAAATAACATGTAGCACAGCATGCTACAGAGGGAGGCAAAAGTTCATAAAGTTTCCCACTGAAGTACTAATATGCTTTATCACTTTATCTTACTAAATAAGGGGAATAAGCAAAATGACCTTTATAATCTATTATTTTCTAGACAAATGGATTGCTTAAAAGAGAACATTGACCACTGCCTTTCTTTTAACAAGACACATGGCACATTCCTATCAATACCTATTGCTTCCTTTTGGAATAATTATATATATGTTTTCCTCAAAACTGTTTTCTTTTCTTTTTTTTTTTTTGTAAAGCCTTCTTCATTCTAATTCATCACTTCTCCCATTTTTCTGCTTACTTCATTAATTGTGATCGTTAAAATAGTAAACTTAGGCCTCCTCTACCATGAGAAGAGTATTAGAGCAAATTGTGCTTCAAGCTTAAAATTGTAACTATCAAATGCCACCAAATACTATTAAATACTTATATTTCCAACAAAAGTGCTGTGTTTTTTTTAACTCTTCTGTTGCTTCTGGATCATAAAAAGAGCTCTGGGCCTCACCTGTGAAAAGCCTTCTGTAAGCAATGACGTAGGGGTCAGAAACAGATACGTTTTATTCCTAGCCTAGAAACAATCTGCGTAGAAAAAAACACTGGGGTTGGAACAAATGGATTGGATGTTGAGTTTATGAAATCATCAGCTGAGTATAACTAAAAATCAAGACAGAAACAGACGCTACAAAGGAGTCAGTGTGGAGCAATAGAAATATCTGATTGCACTGTTGCATCCCCCTGCTGACACGTTCAAGGAGAGGCTTCCCCTCCCCCTTCCATTTGACAGCATGAGCTATTGCTAAGTAAATGCCAGCCACAGCCTCCAAGGACTAACAAGGAAGTCTGCAGAAGCAAAACAACCATATGTGATATTTGAACTGGTTCAGACTGGTTCAGGGTTTGCTCTACTTACTCAAAGTGCCTTCTCAGATGAGCCTTCTGTGTGGGCTGTAATAAAAGGAAAGAGGCCTCAGGAGGGCAATCTGGGACCTATTGTTTACTGGGGGAGCAGAGCAGCTATGCTTCTCTTGCGCTGAGATTAGCAGTAAATACTCCCAGTAATCACTGACTTCAGAAATTTCACACACTGAGTCCTCTCTAGTAGCAACACCCCTTTGTCTTTCTTGTGACAAACTGCACAGGGCCCTGTCACAATTCCCTCAGTGGTTCTGTCAGACCCAGCTGCACACAGATGTGTGTTCACAGTGGTCCATTGGGAATGTTGTAAAGGTCTTAGCTTGGATTCATGGCTCCTAGGTCTCTCCCCTAGCGCATTCTGAAATCACTGTATGGATCACAGATAGCATTTTCCCAATGAATGTATCTCAGCAAAATACCTTAAAACTGGACAGATACTGCTAGGGGTGTAGAGCAGCTGAAGAGGCTTCAGATCCCACTTACACTATTGTTCCGTTTCCTACAAATGCAGGCTGCTGTTGACAGAAAACAGAGCATGTATGTTTAAGGGTAGATGAATGGAATTGGAGAATACACAGGCCTATGAGTGAAGAACAGAGGCTTTACTCTAAATTCTTATACAGATTTGTTGTTTGACCTTAGGCAAGCTTCTGCCAGTTTGCCATATTAATAACCACTTAAGTCACAGAAGGCAGTTATACTTGTGTAGTGCTGACTTAGATTAAGAGCACAAATAAACATGAATGTAGAAAGAAACATGAGAATGTGCTGTGTATTTTTTCTTAAGGTATTAAAGTGCCTTTGCAGCTTTTCTGTTTCTTAATTCTGTGATGTGCACAGCAGTAACTAGCAAAGCTAAGCAGTCAGCTAAACCCACCTTCTTCTTGGTTAGAAAATATTGATGTAAGAATAACAGGTTATCTACAGGTGAGATGCATGAAAAAGGCAGAATGAGATGTACGGAGATTTTAGTCAAATGGAATAAAGATTTTTGTTTAGGTTACAGTCATTAAACTTCCAGTGAATTGGACAGAACTGTTTCAGTGCCCCTCACTCACCATGGGAACAGATTTCATAGTCAAGCACAAGTGACTGTCCAAAACTGCTGTTTAAACTTCAGTAATCGAATATTATCAAATTCAGAGTTAGCTTTCACTGTGAAAAGAACGAGGGTGTAGAGTTGCATTTAAACATACAAGAATTCCAGTTCCTTTGGAAAACACACCACGGTTAAAATGCACAACCACTCACTACAGGCAAGCAACTCCCATATCCCTGCCAACATAAAGGCAGGGAGGTTATAAACTCGTACACATAAAATGAAAACAAAAATGTTTTCCTTATCTAGCTAGGGTTTTAGGACTGTGATCAGAGTAGTCTTTGTAATTCAACCTAGGAGCAAAGACCAAACCTTTCAGTAGAGCTACCAGTGTTTCTGCATAAAAGCGCAGGATTCACAGACATTTACAGTGCAGGGCTCTCACCTCTGGATTTTATTTTCCTTAGCTGACCTGAAAACAGATTAAACCCATTGGCACATAGGTACAGTGAAAGACCTCTCTCTCCACAGGTGTTTGCCTGGAGGCTGTGGGAGGGATTGTGTTTACTTTGGGAATTTGCCCCAGTCTTCTCTGCCTAGAATGGAAAACCTCTTTATTTTCTCTGTGGGTTGCACACATGGCATTGGCATGCAAGGACAGCCTCCTTCTGGCTCTTGTAAATGCACATGGACTTTTAAAAGTCTATTTACAAAAGCAAAGATCCTGTTACTTGAATATATTTACGACATAGGGCAAATCTTTGTTGCTGTGGTCTCAATTTTGCCGTTCTCTTAGAAAATTAGGGCTCAAACTGGGAAAACCACAAGGAGGCTAAAGGAGTAGAAAGGAACAAAGGATTAATAAAGTTCCATCCCATACTTTGCTAGTCTTTAAAATATGACAGTGTTGAGTTGGAACACTGCATTTGACTGATGACCCAGCACCTGAAATAGGCAGGTGAAAAACCCTGTATGTTTTTCACTATCTTATCTTCCACATACTGAGTAAGGACAACCCCAAGTTTCATACAGATAATTGCTACTCCATCCACATATGCTAAAAGGATGAAAGAAATTTCATCACAAAGACCCAGAGAAAGAACTTCCTGGTCAAAAGAAGACCATCTGACACACAGTGTTGCAACCTGCCTATAACATTACCTGTTTCCATGTGGAGATCTGCCAAGGCAGAAACTGTCTCTGGAAAGAGGAAGATTCAGAGATACGAGAAATACAGGCTGTCTCTGGATACTCACGATATCTGCTCTCCATCTCCAGGAAATGAATGCATGCAGCCTGCAGAGTTTAATTCTCTTTTGGTTTATTACTATTTAAAAACCAGTTTTTGCATCCCCTTCTACAGAGGCTTCACCTTCCAACAGAACATACAAAAAAATACACACAATAGAAAAAAAAAAAAAGATAGGTAGGTAAGTTGCTTTATACAAACAGGTCCCTAAGAACCCAAAAGGCTAAAACAGGCTCGGTTTCAATAGAAGCAGGCCCATAAATAGGCAAGAAACTTCATTCAAGTAGGGAAAGAGTCATCCATCCTCACCTAAGATCCTTTCTTGCTCACACTGAAGATAATGGGAGGATTCCCAACAACTTCAGTAGAAGCAGGATTGAGATTCATCAGAGCCAATGGCAAACTTTTCTGCTCCTTCCCTTCCAAGGCACTGTCTTGTCCACACTGCATGCAGCCAGGGAAAAATGCCAGTCTTCCTGGCTCATCCCCACACTCGTGTTTCGGTTGTTTGCTCTACAGGACATCTGAGAACAGCCTTTTATTTTCTCTTACACTGTGTATTAACACTAATTGCTGCAAACTTTCAGATTATAACAGTACTGAAGAGAAATTCTGATCCCAAGAGCAAGGCTTGGTTGATTATTTAAGAGCCAGCAGTCAGTCTGACAAATTTGCAGAGGGCATGTAGAAGTTGCCTGGAGAAGGCACCAGTTTGTAGACACAGCAGCCAAAAAGCTATTAGCGGGAGTGAGATTGATTTATTACAGAAGCACTTACCCACACTCGCTATGTGGCTGCAGGAAGCTCGAGAGCATTTATAGCTGCTGGTGGCTGTTTGAAGTGACCCCATGGTCCACACGGAACCCAGGAGCTAGGAGGGAGTCACTGAGACACCAGTTACCTCCTTCCTTCGGCACATCTCAGCTCAGAGCGCTTCCCAGTCTCCAAAACTGCAGTACAAGTAGAGAAGCCACCCAGGAAAAGCTTCATTCACATAAACCCTGAGAGCAGATCAATAACACCAGGCAGTCTTTAAATTTATTTAGATATTTCACTTTTTGGGAAGAACGTAGCCGGATGCTTAACTTTGCATCGTGCCTGGAGTCAGTGGGGCCAAATGTTTGTAGCAGTTAAGTAGCACTATTGTGCAGGACAGTTTGGCACTTGAATCATTCTTACTCAAGGTTATCATCATCTCATTTTTCATATGGGAACTAAACACAGGAAGAGGCCAGAGATGACATAAGGTGTTAATTCTTTACAAAGAGGCAGTCATTACCCACTACCACAGAGCAAACAACTGTGGTTTTCCACTAGCATGCTTTAACCATTACAGCCATCCCCACAACTCCTTATAGCCAGGGTGCTTGCTCCTGTTCTGCAGGACTTTGTAGTTATGTCACAATTATTTTTTTTTTTTTTGTTCTAGTTAGCCAAATAGTTCTCCAGTCTGTTTTACAGGTAGCACTGTTAATCTGTAGAACTGTGTGGATCTGAACAGGTACATACACTGGCAAAGGAATGTATGGGGGTGAAACTATCAAGGGAGCAGGCAGAAATACATTCTGCCAAAGCTGTTGCTGCTGCTGATTCTGCAACAGTAAAGAGTGGCTTCAGGCTGCAGCCCAGCCACTGCCTCCCTCTGTCCAAGGCTCAGTGCTCCTAAACACACAGCTTTCTTAAAGGGACACAGAGCAGCAGACTGGGCTGAAAGCCACATCTGTTCCCAAAGGCTCATTCACAGCGGCTGAAGGTTCTCATTTAGAAAAGCACGTACAGGATAAAAAGCCAGACTCAATCAGGAGGCAGGGGCATCTTCCACAATCTGCTTTCTTTTTCAAATGTTTCCTTTCTCTTTTTTTTTTTTTTTTTTCTTTTTTTCCCTCTTTGCTCATTTGTTTTGTCTCTTGGGTTGGAACTGAGAGCATAAGCTCAGAGATTCAACGTGAGCTTATGTTCTATTCAATTAAAACTCATGTACTGTGCCCATGCAAAAGGTGAATGGTATAAAGCTGGCTTAATTTACATTAAGATATTCATAATGCTGTTAAGATATATTCATAATGCTGAAAAAGCCAATGTGTTCCATGGTTTTGTTTGGCACTTGCTCTCAGAGTTTCTGCCACCCTGAACCATCACAAATATTTCTCTTTATGTGGATGATACAGAAAAGCCTTTCCTGTTTCATTACATAAAATTTTGATAGTTGTGTTTTGCTTTGTCCATTCATCTCTCATGAAACCCACAGAAAGCTCTCGCTTTCCATCTGTTCTCCCAACACTGAAGTCTGGAGTTCCTTTGAAATTTACTTTGGCATCTACTTCCTCAAGCAAGCACCTTAAAAAAAATTAAGCTGGAAGTGGGGCCCCACTCCAGACTCAGGACAAAAATTCAAATATTGAATTCTAGGAACAAAGATTTCGGGAAAACAAAACAAAACAAAAACAAGACACTAAAGCTACAACAGAGCCTACAAAATCTAGGTTAGATTTCATACTATCAATTCCATTAGTTGAGTTAGGTAGACATTCAGTTACACAGCTTTTCTATTCAAGTCAAGTCATTCCTTACTGCTGATAGCAGGTAAGGGAGAAACAATAATTTCAGAGAATACTTGGGAAATAACAAACATTCCCTTAGTCACTGGCACTCAAATGGGTCTAAAACAATGACTGGGCATTTGCAATTATTCAGAAGATAGGAATGAAGATCAACTCCTCACCATCTTACAGTTCTAGGTTTAAAAAACCAAAACAAACAAAAAAAGACCCTCTCCCCATAATACTTTGAGCTATGATAGTTAAGGCACTGGATTGAGAGAAGGAAAATCTGAGTTCAGTTTCTGGTTCTGCTATTAATTTCCCACATTATCATGGGCAAATCACTTAAGATTGAGAGCTCCCATGCCGTCATATTGCCATGCATCAGATAAGTCACACCAGTCAGTTTGCAGACACCTAGCATGTGGCAAATGCAAGGTGACATGACTTCATGTAATTCGGTATTGAATAAACTCATATTATATATAAATATATTATATATCAATATATAATATATTGATACATAATATATATTGATACATATAATACATTATATATATATAATATATATATAAACCTGGCACTTGTGGTGGACATAACTTACTTTAGGCAAAAAGAAAAGCCTAGTGATAAGTCTGAGCCCCTGCGTTCAACACAACATTTAAGCATGCAGTTAAGAGTTTCAACTCTGTTTCATTCATTCACTTATGAAATGCTCACATCTATTCCTGCCTTGTCTATCATTAATATCTAGATTATAAAGGTTGAAGATATTTTCATACCTAATACAGAAGGGTCTGAACCACAGTTGAGGGGTTTAAGGACTCCCATAATACAAAGAAGTACAACTAATCTGATTATCAGAATTTGTATTAACTGAAGTTCCTTTGCAGAGCAGTGCACTGACTTCAACATTGGACTGCAGTCCTAGCAAATAACAAAAAAGATAGTTAGCATCTATACACTGACATGTTAAAAATGTAATAGAAACAACCTCAGTGAGGTTGCAGCTTGAAGCAATTTAAGTATTTCCCTTTGAACCCTGAACTGATGAAGCTGAGTTTCTGTTTGGATCTCTTTTATGATCTATAAGCAGCAGACACTCCCCAAAGTGTAGAATTTGCACATAAATTCCTATTTAGAACTGAATAATATGCCTCCAAAACAGGAGAGAGCTCTGAAAATCCATTTCTGCTGAAGATGTTAGTACTTGTTGGCACTAATCTGCACGTTGGTGAAAATCTTTCCCATTTACACTAGAATTGTCATTTCAGGATTGTTACTGCCTAATTGCTTCCTTGTTCACTAGACTGAGAATTAAATAGCTTTCATTCAATTCACTCCTGACAACTTAGTAAGCATTTGCTTTGACGAGCAAAACGCACGGTGTTTTAGGCGGTTTCCTTTGTAGCTGAAGGCTTTTCATTAGTTTCATCAGGCCAAAATTTGTAGCTTTCAGAATGAAATTCCAACGCGTGTGGTGCCAAAATTCAACTCACCAATAACAGTAAAGTCAGTGGAACTAAAACTAGAGTAAAAATAACCTGTATTCTGGAAATGGATTTTATGACTACCCCGTGTTCTCCAAGTGCTGGGAACACTGAGGACACAAACTGCGCGCATCTTTCAGAGCACAGCCTCAGTTCTACAGAAATCTTCCTCACAGCTCACTGCTCATTACTGAACACTGGCTACCTGCAAGTCAGCATGACTGCACTTACATTTGTTAATTCCAAGGAATTGTTATGCTGAGTGGAAAGCCTGCTCTATCTTGAATTGCTTGGCAGCTTACAGGGTTGTCTCAACATAATCCAGATTTTGTTACCTTCTAGAAATGTCCTGTTTCTACTTGTCAAATAAGCTCATCAGTACACCTTAGTTTAAAGGGGTTTTTGCTGGTTTTTTGTTTTTCTTTCCCTTTTAGATGAGACTCACACCTGTTCCAGGGATTCTGGAGGAAGATGACTGGAGAAGAGCGTGTCATTCAGTCTTCCAACTCAGATTAATAGCAAAATGTCAAGTCCATATTTGCATGAAATATGCAAATTTAGAAAGCACTGGTTCTATTAGGAGAAAGTCTTTGATTATTCAACCTCAGTTTAAAATACTCAAGAGCAAGCTTAAAAAAGGAGCTTCCTATAAGAGAGAAGCTGCTGATTCTAAATCAGTAGAGTTTAGAATGGCATCCTAAAACCTTTAACCTTACAAAGGGCTCCACTTCAAACACAAAACCAAAATAGGACTGTATCCCACAAGGTCTTGTTTTAGCTGCTCAGTTTGGACTGGGAGCACTTGGACAATGCAGAGTGCCACCAGAGCCCTTTGTGGCTACCTTCTTATTTCATATAAACACACCTCCTAGAGAGGATGTAGATCCTGGACTGCGGTGGTCTATCCTGAACCAGCACTGTATTCATGATGGGGACAACCATTATTTCACAGAGTGCAAGTTTGGTGTGGAACTTGGGCTCTTCAAAGTGGCCTTTCTAGAAACATTCAGTGCATACATAGGAGCTTGATTTGCCAAATCACTCCTTAAACCTCTGCTCATTACCCCTCACAGCAATTAGGTGATGTAGAAAAAACTTCTCACATACAGGAAATCAAGAAATTAATTCAATGATTATGCCGTTGTCTATGCAACTTTGACCATCAATAGCAGAACCATGATTAGAACTCAGGAGTATTCCTAGCTCATAACCCTGTGTTTAGTTGATTACATAACATTTATATCTGGATTTGCTACATAAAGAACTTGAAAAAATTACACGGGAAGAGGGAGGACCAAGAAAGGACACTATTTCTGCTCAAGTGGCATATTCAGATTAAACAGAACCTCAAACAGCCTAGAAACCCTGCTTCTTCGCCTTCTGTAATCAATTCTTTTTCAGAGATCTACTGTTCACATTCTCTTATAATAGAAACCTTTCTTGGCAAATAAATGAACAAGCCTGGCTTTTGCAAACCTGACTGAAGGTAGATCAGGAAAGCAAGACTGTAGCCAAAAAGCCCAGGTCACTGAGAGTGCAGTACAATGGAGAGGGATTAACACCATATTTACTGGTTCTCATTCGCACACCTTTTGGACAGGTGGCTAAATTGTTCAAAAACCAGACCAAACAAGGGGATGTAAAGTAACATACTAACTTCTTTAATAGAGTCCAATCCAATTAAATCAAAACCACTCTGTGAACCCCTGGGTTTATTCACACTAAACAAGTCAGTGGTACATCGTGTTAACCCGATAGCTGATTGCGTTTGTACCGGCACCAGGTCCCACATGAAAAATGAGCACCAGTCAACCAGACTGCAATGGTATTTTTTCCATTTTTTTTCCCCCATAAAACTATTTCTTTCATAGACTTAAAAACAACCAACTAGCCAAGTTATTAATTATGGTACACCTAAAAAAAAAAAAAAAAAGAATACTAACCCTAATGTGACTGCTGCTTTAAGAGTGCTCTGTGTCTCGCCTTAGACTGGCTTTTCAGTAGCAATTCACTACAACAGGTCCTAAAATAATAATAATAGAGAATTAAAAATCCGACAGCAAGTTTAATGGTTAAAAATAACAAAAACAACCTGTTCTGAATGGTGATTTTACTCAGCAGTTATGTCCTGCTGCAGCACTCACAGCCTCACAAATGGTAGAAGGGGTTCAAATTCTCTCACCTTCTTTATTTTCTTCTTGTTTGTTTTTAAAAGGACAACTGCATTGTAATCTGCTAGGTACCATGGGACATTTTTCTTAACGTTATGTTCAGTCAATAATGGGTCTGTTTTCAAAACTTACTGTGTTTTCCTGGGGTGGGTTAGGGAAGATAGGAAGAAGAGAGAAAACAGAATACAGCTCCTTGTAGCTGTAGCTCCCACGTGCCTTGGTTACTATGACTGTCTCTAATTCTCAGATCAGCGCTCGTTTTTTATTCTAGAAGATCATGATGAAACACTGGCTGCAACTTTTATAGCTCCACTTGGTGTTTTAAATCACGTCTCCTAACCAAGGTCACCATCTTCTGTAAATCATCAGCTAAGAAGCATTTTTTCCCTCTCCCTAGTGAAGGTTTAAAGGTGGGGTAGGGCATGAGACAAAGAGGGAAGCTAAAATGAATTTAAAAAAAAATTGCAGCTATAGAACCAAATTTCATTATTTCCTCTTTCATTCACAGCATCTTATCATTATAGCCAGACTGCTGCTTTGCTTTAAGGTCAGACTGATCTCATTTTCCCTCTGGCCCCATCGGTTGCTGGTCGACCTCTGGATCCACAAGGGATGATGCAAATGCTGACTGGACGATCTGAAACCCAAATGACTCCAGAAGAGACATGTTCTGTTGGGGTGAAAAGGGGGATCCCAGAGCAGGACCAAGGTCCCCCAACGGGCCACCAAGGGCCCTGACGTGAACTTTCTGTATGTGTTTGTTCAGATAAGACTTCGATCTGAAAAAGCTGCCGCATTCAGGGCAAGGGTACTTCTTCTCTGCCTCCGTCTCCATTTTGTTTTTGCTGACTGCCATGTCACACGAGAAGGACCCATTGGTGCTCTGTTTCTCAGGAGTCTTGAGGTCACTGGTGTCAGAGAGATCTCCATATGAATCGGAACTTTCAATCGGGTCCGAATGTGAACATTTCTGTCCTTCTATGGGAAAAAGAAAAAAGTTTTCAGAAACTCATCTGCCAAAGTACTTCTTTAACATGCACTCAAATAGCTTACACTGTTTATCACCTGATTCAGTAATGCCTGTCATGGTGGAATGATTCACATGTAACACTGAAATTCCCCAAATTCTGAAGCCTTCGAGCACAGATCCTCTACAAACCAAAGGGCTGCTATCAGAGCAACATCCAAGTTTTCATAATGGACTTGTAGTACTGAATGCATCTATGACGTATCTCTAGGTTTTGAATCCAAAAAGATTATATCTCAGGCACTGCAGAAGCATAGATCTGACTGAGTTTTCAACCATACAAGTCACTCTCCACACTTCTGAAATATAGTTGATTCTTTGAGCCTAGAAATCTGATCTAAGACTATTGAAAGATGTAAAGAAATCCAGAGATATTTTACTCATTCACTCAACAAAGCAGCAGTGAGTTACTCATGTTTCAGAGGTGCAACTCCATTTAACCTCGAGAAGCTGTTTTTTAAAAGTTAAGCACAGCACTGTTAGAAGTGAACTTTATTATCTGGAGTTGATCCATCCTTAAGCAGCGTAGTGAAAAACAGGAATTTACGACACTATTTTAAGCCATTTGGATGCATATCCTGGCAAAGTCATCAGCATGTCTGGAGTGTTCCTCACTCTCCTTTGGCACTATGTCAAGAAAGTTTGTCCACACTTTTTGCTCAGTTTATTTGAATGAGCGTGGGAAAACGAGACATACTCCCTAAACAAGTGTCTGAATACAAATAAGTTGTATCAACTATTAACTCTGAAAGACCAAAGACCCACTTGGCACCACCCAAAAGACAGATTTGCTCGGGACTCAGTATTATGAACCAAGCAGGATATGCATGAAATCAATACAGAGCTGAGCTGGAGTAAATCTCTTGTTAAATCAGCTCACCACCCAGAACCAAAGGGCTTCTGTAGTAACTCTGTGGGGACTTCAATAGCAAAAAAAAAAAAAAAACAACAAAAAACCCACAACTGGAGCTTTCCATAGGCACAGACTTTGTTTAACCCAGCATGCTGTTTTTTCCTGGGCAAGAAAACAACCATGGTTTCAGGGTTGCATTCTCGGGCTCTCTCTCTGCCTTCACTAGAAATCAGAAGCATGGTTTGGTTGACACAAGATTCAAGTGTAGTGGACTATGGACTTGCCAAGGATCTGCAGCTCTCGGGTAAAACGCAAACACTGCTCCTAGGTCAAGATGAACTAACACAGCTTTTCCCCAGACTTATTAATTCACCGAAGTGATGACAAATGTTGCATGCTATGTGATTTCTCTGCATGTTCCTCAGATTCTTCCTAGTATCTTTCCTGTCCTTCCTCCCTCCTTCCCTCCCCTTTCTCATGCCCAGCCCAACATCCCACAACACCAGGTTCTGCACAGAGAAGCAAGGTGCAGGGCAGGAAGTCTCTTGCCTTTGATGCCATAGGTTCTGACGCAGTGGAATGCTGCTCCCCCATTCGGGATGGACTCCTGGTGCCTGGAGACCTGGGGAAGGGGAACACCGTGGTGGGTTTTAACATGGACCTTTAAGTAGGAGGCAGAGGAGAAACCTAAACAAGATAAAAGGAGATGAGATCCTACCATCAGCAAAGACACACATCTGTCTTCCCTGTTCCTTACATCTTTTTCTTGCTCTTATTCCCTATTTACAAGGTTACCATTATACCAGCTTGATTTCTGGCTACCTACAACATGTTCAAGTACATCCCTAGACATAATCAAACAGTGCACACAATACATATCTTTCATTAGACATCATTTGCTTATTGGAGGTCATGATGAAAGATCAACAGCCTCCTTGAGAAACAAATCCTATACAACCCTAGCAGATCACATGAAACTTTATGGGGAAAAAAAAAAAGGCAGAAGAGACATGACACAAAAAGGCACCCACATATCTTCACCTTCTTTTATTTAATTTAAAATTCTTTTTATACTTTGCGAGACATTTCAGAGTATTTTACTTTTGCAGTTAAGACCTGAAGGAGTACAATTTAGTAACACAGCTCTTCAGAATTTACTTTGCCTTCCCTTAGTTTCCAGCATCTATAGTCACTCCTAGAAGACAGAAAGCTGAACCTATTCAGATTTTAAGAAACACAGTTTTGTTGTATAGTAATTTTCAAAGACTATTTTCCCCATTCAGCTCATCCTGAGTTTTAAAGACCATACTGAAAATCATATTTTGTCTGCAGTTAACAAAAAAATATATATATATAAAAATGAAATCTCAATATTTCTATTAGCTGCTTAGACCACGAAAATTAAAAACGCATATTTAAAACAGTTCTAAATAAAACAGTTCTAAATAAAACATTGTTTTAAATTTGCTCATGTGCTACCTTTTCTATTTCTTAACTCTCACAAATAAGAACTTTTTCTTTAATGTAATAAATTACCTAACAAATACTTTGAAACATTTTAAAATTCAGATTTTAATAAACTTGTAGGTAGTTCTAGAAGCATTTGGAGCACACATGAGGCACGTGGAGGACAGAGTTCTGGACACTTTTTATACAGGTAAGCCCACCAATAACCATGTTATAACACTCATGTTGGAAACATTTTCCTTTAACAACAGACAGCAAACCACACATTCCACAGTCACAGAGCTCCAGGTTCCTCTTCTGCAAACAGGCAACCTGAGACTTGGATTAATTCTTTTTAAACCAATACAGCATTTGCAGCACCAGCCCTTGAAACAGAACTTTCATATCAGTGCTTCACTTTATGACCAGACATACCGTCGTACAGCCACTTTTACAGTGACACAACTGCATTGACATTTGCTGAGATATAATAACATATTAGGATAGATGCAAAATCAATGCTGGCTCACATGTTGGGTGCTGAATGCAATAACAAATAAGGAGAATTCCCTCTGCCTACCCAACAGAATACTCACTGCACAGCCATGATCAAAGACTGTTCAGCAGTTAAGAATTACATGCACAGGACATGCAGAGCAAGACAGAACTCCACAGCAACTTGCTGGAGAAAAAAAGGGGAAGGAAGCTGAGAATGAACAAGAGATATTTGCTGCAGATCCCTAAGTTGAAAATGAAAGTAAGGAAAATATATACGATACAGCAAGAAAACCATAACAGAAGAAACTGCAAACAAAAATTGGAATCATCTCAGAAAAATCATCCAGGGAGCTAATATAAGGGTATTTCCTTCTGAAGGAAGGCAAGACTTATGCTCAGGCACAAAATGCTGCACTGATGTGTCACTGGGCTGCAAGAGAATCTGTTTTTCCAACAAAAATAAAAAACACACTGCAGACATGGATAGAACTGGTGTGTGACTGCTAGAGAAAAGGACCAATGTCCAGGGGTAATGGTGATACGTGCAACTCAAGGTGTTTCCCTTATTTCCTACATATCTAATGACTGCATGCATGCTGAGATGAGTTTCTGTAGCAGCACATTAAAATCCTCCTGCTAACCATTAACAAAGGACAACACAGTTATTCAGTGTGTTTCTATACTACAACTGACACAGGGAAATCTAGAGTTGTAATCTCTGCTATACAGTCATTTTTCTGAACTCTGCAATTCTATTTGTAGAATACATTGTTTTATATAATGAAAGCTGCCTGCAAAGTGTGTTAGCTCCCCTTTCTGTACTTGGCAGATGAACATGTGAGTCATCAGCTTCTATCAAGGCAGGAAGAATGCCAGCTACTTCATAAGAAGCTGTTTGAAATGAGATTTTTTTGGCTTTATTCTATTTTTTTCTGAAGCACTCAGTACTGCTGCTTTTTTTTTTTCCCATTAGGCCTTAATTAGGAATAGCTGTCCTAGGAAGATGGGGGTGAATTCACAATCAATAATCCTTTACTTTTTAAAATCTCTTTAAAAACAAGACCAAGCTAATGCAGAGCACAAAGTGACAGTACGTTTCAAATAGAAGTATTTATTGCTTTACCCATACACAGCTCACAGCTTTGCGGAGCAGATTATTTCTTCACTCCAGACTAATCAACATTAAAAACATGCACTAAAAAAATCCCAATGTTCCTTCATTTCTCAGGTAATATCCACAGGGAGACAAGTACAGAAGTAGCTGTAGGATGCTCCTTTTTCAAAAATTCTCATCTGGACTTAGCCAGAACATTTGGAGAATGCTTCTAGCTTCAGTCAGCTTAGTCAGCTCTGTATCCACCATTAAAAATACTGTAATTCACCTTATTGTAAAAATAATAATAATAATCTAACTTGTGATTAGAACATGCACTCATCCCCAAACTCCTCTGATTTCTGTGGAGCAAACAATGCCTGTGTCTGAACTAGAATGTGGCTGTTCCAACTTGAACCTGACAACAAAGCATCAGCTTCAGATTTGCCCAAGTCATGAAGCTTGAAGTTCTTTGAAAAACCCTCACAAGCAAATGAAGTTCCTAGGAAGGGTAAGAGGATATTATGTAACAACTAAGCAGGAGCAAGGCTTCTGGATTTAAACTGATTTTAAAAGTCTTTAAAAGTGAGGATTAAGTTTCCATAAGCACATTTTCCATTACTTTTTAAAAACAAAACAAACAAATCACTAAATCTCAGAAAAGAACACTGCACAGCTCCCTTGATTAGAGAAGATTTAATTGCTTACATAATTACTTTAAGCAAAAAGACCCTTAGTAAGAAAATAACCTGAAGAAAATTAACTCACAGATGGTAATTTTTGGACATTATAGTGCCCCTTTGGTAAAGTACATAAAATTAGCAAAAGGGCACATGAGTGACATAGTAAACAACTGCAGCCACTTTCAGTCAGACACTGAGATTCTATTCTCCTAAACCCACCATGCCTTTAGGAGAACACAAGACACTTGATTAACCTCTACAGAAAAGCCTTCAGCCTGATGGGATGAAGTGAGGATTCTGAATTGGTATTTCCCACTCTGATTTTGACACTAGGATGAGTTCAGCAGTACAAGTCACCTTTTTATCCACTTCTTTTATTGCTTTTTTTGGTGGGCCAGCATCCTACTTCCCTTTACAAGCAGCTCTTAACATTTTTCATCATCTTGCTTGACAGTTATTATATCCAGCACTTCAGTTCTAATTAAAAAACACAGCAGCACATCAGCAGGAGGAAGGATAAAACTGCATTGTAGCTCTAGCAGCCACAGCTGGGGGCAGCATGCAGCTTCTGACTGTGCCAATGCCCATCAAATAGAGGTTTCCAATGCAGACATTTTCCACTGTACTTCTGTACATCTTCAGCCTCTACAATTTAAGATATCTATTTTAAACAATGAACATTCTAATTTGATTCTAGAAAGCTCTGGATTAAAAAAATCTCAATATCATGGATCATAAAACAGTAATCAAAATTCATGGCATGTAACAATGCCCATAATACAGTTGGTTGACAAGGCCAGTCTATAATTTCCCTTCCCTATGAATTTTAACACAAGATAAATATTTAGCAACAATTCAACAGTTTTGTTATGGTTTGTAAGTGCTGATGTATAATGGAATTCACAGCAACACATTTGCAGTACATAAACCATAAGAACAAAGTAGCAGCGAATAGTTTGCTGTACAAAACCCCTCTATTTTACTTAAATTCCTACTGTATATCTAGGCCTGTAAGATGTGAATACTCCATTTAATCACTTCATTGTTTAATCACCAGATCTGTCTTTGTCATGCTGGCTTAATGGTAAAGGAGCCGCAGTGACATCTGGTGGTAGTTGAGTTGAAACTCAAGTTTATAAGCCCTGGAAACGTGACAATTTCTCCCAACCTACACGTGTTTGTTTAGCACCGTGTACCCCTGAGGGAGAGCAGGACAGCACCTTGCATAGCATCTTGAGTGTTGTTACAACAGAAAGAACAGAACAAGCTTAAGCAGTGTTTCAGAAGAGAGGCCTTTATCTGAAGAGGAAGCCAGAATCTGAAGATTTTCAACAGATACCATATCTAGTCAAAACGTGTCATTTTCAGGACCTAACACATGGCTACAGCACTGGAGACACCTCCCTCACAAGCCAATGTCTCTCATTACTCACCATCTCCTCATCATCTCAAACCTCCTACAGCCCTCTCATTATTCAACACAATTCTCTCACAAGATTTGATTTCATCTCCCTTAAAATAGGAATGGGAGCACACATTACCAAAAAACACCTCGTCAGAAAAGAGATCCCCAAATACAGCAGCAACATGTTGCCATACTCAGTAGGTTTGTACACGAGTGTGAGCCAGCAATACATTCTGAAGTTGACTATTAATCATTCAAAAAAATGCAAGCAAACAGGTATTAGCAAGTCAAAATTATTTTTTCTTCTTTCCAAAGTTTGCCCAGCTTGCCTGACATCCCACAAAGCCTAAGCCTACAACTGTCTCTCCAACTTGGCAGTACTAAAAACAGATCGAAAAAGTTGAAAAGCTGTATTTACACAAATAAAAGTGAAGCACATTTTTAGTGCTTTACTCTCTTTAAGAGACTATACATTATATATAGTTTCAGAAAAATTCAGAAATATATATTAATGCAAAGCAATTTCTTGGGAGAAGTGGGAGAAGCACTTTGACTCTACTGCTGCACCCAGAGCTGAACAAGACAATAAAACGTACATTCTTTATGTACAGTATATAATTCTCAACTTCATGTGTATCTCAAATATTCTTCCAGACTGTACACAGGAACCACCCAAAAATGTGCATGATGAACAAGGCAATGTATCATGGTTATTTGGTAGTAATCTGGATACTTAGCAAATAAAATTCTTTAAATTGCCTAAGAATAATCTGCTTCAGACTCAAAGTTCTTTAGGAACTATTAACTATGTAAGAGCAGACCTATGGCACCACCAGTTTCAAAGTTAAGAATTCAATAAGGAAAGCAAAGAATATGTACACATATATGGTATTTATATGCCTCCTGTTGCAGTCACACAGCCTTACAGCTTCCTTCGAGCATTCTCCCAGCCCACTGAAATGAAAAAAGTTGTTTCTTCATTACCTCGGTTGCAGATAGTGCAGAAATTGCTTGGTCCTTCACTGTGTTTCTTCAAATGATCTGCCATATATGCTGCCCGCAAGTACTTCCCACACACCTGGCACGGAACTTTGTCTTCATGACACGCTAGGTGTGAGCGCAGTCGATCACGCGTGGCAAAGGAAGCATTACAAGTCTGCAGGTACAACGAGAACCGCGTGACTCAGCAGCCCTGCTACAAGCACCGACACTGCCAAATCTATTTAGCATTCTTTAGAGTAAATACCTCAGACCCTGCATATACAAATCACATGATACACAAGCCATTTCCCCACAGTTAACAATTCAGACCACCCACATATCACACAAGATGTGGTTACTACTTGAAAGAATTAAGAAAGCAAGAAAACAGCTCTAATGTACTACAGATAATGATACTTCAATATAGATAAGAGTTCTAAGGCCTTAGCTCCTCACTGAGCAAGAAGATATTAATACCAAGAAATATTGAATAACAGAAGTAGCATTACAGTAAATTCTGCCACTTCACTGAGCCATTAACATCACTTCAGACCACTCAAAATGTCCTCTTTGACACTTTCCTAAATTTTGTCCTCTGATACAATCTGACTTGTACAGAGGATTTCTCCTTTGGACTAAGAAGACACATAATAAAGCATCAGAGAATTGCCTGGGATGTAAAAAACAAGACAGTAAAAGAGCCATCCTGGTACCCCCAGCAGCAGTGCAGACAAAGTGCAGAAGAGAAGCCTCAGAAGTGAGCAGGTATCAAAACAACTGCATAGCAGTGTAGTCTGTTTAAAACTTACCCCTGATCAAGCTATCATATCTCACTTATTACCATGAAACAAGCTTGATCTGCCATGAGATAATATTGGTTCTACGTGCCCACTTCTCAGAGGTAATCTGTATGACAGATGAGAGACAGTTCCCTCCCATGTTCTTAATCACAGCAAGTGGCAGCTGTGCAGACTATGCATATGCCTACTACAACAGCCTGTCAGTTCTGAAAGGCTTGCTGTATTTCTAGCGTGAAGGAAAATAGTAAACCATCAGTAACACACTGTACAAGTTATTATTGTCCAAAACCACTGCTCACAAGTGCAAGAAGGGAAACAAAAGCAGGTATGTGTTAGAATGACCAGACCAAGCGGGCAACAGTGACATCCCAGAGTGCACAGTGTTTGGTTTGTACCACACCTTCATGTAAAATAATGCAGGTTTAAGTTGTACAACCAGAGTCCCCTAAGAAATAATATAAGAAAATTAAGTGACTTGGGAACTGGATACATTCTGTCATTTCAAGTATCAGGGTGCAGTTAAACAGCTCCTTCACCAGAGATAGGCTTGTTAAATTAACAATCTTAGTAAAACTACAAAATTACAACTTCAGATAAACGAAATCGATAAATACAGGTAAGGGTAACCTACACAATTTTGTGTAATTTAGTGAATCAACAGCTTGACCTACAAAACACTACAGGCAGCTGAAAAGTACCTATCCATTTCAACAGGCTTCAGTTCACTTGACCCTGTGAGATGCTTAAGTAAATAAATTCCCATGGAGCTTAGGCTACTTGGCAGCAAGCACAAGACTTAGCACCTCACCGGACCAGGACTTAATGTACTTAAAAAAGCAACAGTAAAATTATCTGAATTTCCATGAGACACAGAGTTTAGCTAAGCTCACCAGACAAAGAATCATAAATCACAAGCAGTGAAGATTAAGAGGCAAATTCTTAAAAATGAAAAATTTCTCTATTTGAAATCTCAGGACACAGCGCTGAGCAAAAGAGGTGCAGCTTTCTCTTACTTAAATGTTATTTGAGGTAAACGCTCAGTTAAGTTAGGATTCCAGCTCTGATGCTAATCAATCTGTTGGTTATCAACTAAAAGTATATAACCAGATAATCAGGGATGACAGCCAAAAGACCCATCATCAATTACTCTAGCAATATTGAGCCACAATGAGTGTCCATACAAAAGCATTGGGAGTGCATTAGTTTACAAAGCAGACCAGAGACAAACCACATAAATAAACGGACGCCAGAAGTAAAATTGTATCTGTCCCATACTGAAACGACCAAGTTGAAAGCTTAGAGAAAGGCAATATAATTGTTTATGTGTTGCTGCTGAGTTTTGTAAAGTTCACCTTTGGATAAGCTGTATAGCAAATACATCTGTGAAGAAGCTTTGAAAAAATAATCAGTCCAGTGGAGAAAGCAAGAACCAGTTTAGCTGAATCATAATGATGGGAGATAGGACTATAATTAAGGAAAACCCCAAAGTTAATATTCAAATAGTTAATATTTATAAAAGTATAGAGAAAAAAAAAAAAAAAAAAGCAAAAAGTTTTATTTTATAAAAGATGTGAAGTGCTAAACGAGTACTAAGGATTTATCATTAATTGTTAATCATAGAAGAAAACTCCAGTGCTCTCCTATCAAACATTGCAAAGGTATATAAAGAGACCAAAAAGAATATATATATAAAGTTTAAAAAACATTGTTGAAGAAATACCTCTTGAAGTTTCAACTTTTCTATGGCTGTGGATGTCTCTGAGCTTATTCCATGGTGGCTGCCATTTTCCTGCTAATAGGCAGGAAGTAAGAGAAATTAGGACAGGAAGAAACTCATTCTGCATTGAAATCAATGGGAAAAGCACTGGACTTGGGATGCCAATTTTAGGTTTATTTAAATAGATATCTTTCTTTAACAAAAGCTCTGCTTTAACTTAACTTGTATTTTTCTCTCTTTTTTTTTTTTTTTAACTTCAGTTGCCAGAGGAACAACCTTTCTCTTGTCTCACAGAAGGAACAAACTTCTTGTTCCTCCCCTTTTTTACTTCTTGTCCACAGAACCACAGCCTAACTTCTATACCAATCACACTCAAAAACCAACAATACATCCTTACATCTTCCCATGGTGAGCCAGCAAACCGACCTGTCCCTTATGGCCATAGCACTGACTTACCCCTTCTCCTTTATCTGGAACTCAAATGTAAGTTTAAAGAAAGAAAAAAACAAAAACACAAAAAAGAAGAAAAAAAAAAAAATCATCAGTGCAACAATACAAGGGAAATATAGGCAGAGTGCTACTTGGTGTCTGGTCTGGACACCAGTGCAACTTCTTGGATCAGTTTCCTGAGATGCCCTGGTCTATGGAGGTCCTCCCCTTTTTGCATCTATTTTAACAAAAAAGCTGGAATCAGATCTGTGTGTGGCGTGGGTGCTACAAGGGCTGGAAATTAGGAGAGTTTTTCAAAGGTCTGTGAAGCCCAACTATTACTGCAGGGAGACTCAGCGCAGGATTGTGTGCCGAGCACTCCAAGCTGTAGCTGTTGCAGTCACATTCAGCTTACAACAATCCTGCTTCTCATAGTTTCATTTTATTTGTTTTAAAGATGGGTTGACACCCTCCCTCTTTTGTTTTGTAGTCCAAAATATACCATGATGCCATATGAACAAAACATTAGATATCCACTGGTGTGTAAAGATACACAAGGGTTCAGGGAAACAGCCAGTGGACTTTGTTTAAATTACAGCATCAATTACTTCCAAGAACGTCAATAGGACAGAGGACTCTGAAAGGCATTTCTGTTTACCTAAAGAATACTCTTTTGCTGTAAACATTAACAAAGCATGACAATAACAGGAATTTTCAACAGGAACTCGACAGATTCAAAAAGGATGCTCAATACTGCTTGGCCTACTCTCACAGGGGCTGGCTTGCCAATTGAAACCAATGAAAATGAGAATGAAAATCTGGAAAAAAGCAAGCCAATGTTAAGCTATTTTCCTTATTAGTGGCCAGGTACTCTGCTCTGATACATGTCACAGAACAAAAGTGTTCCTGGTTATGAGATAACCAGAAGAACTTTATCAATTTATGTACGAGCTTTTAGATTCGAAACAGTTTTCAGTGCATGGCATCCCTTTGTATGGTTTGTATAACATATCAAAATCCAGGCATACTCAAGGTTTTCTTCATTTGACAGCATATTGTTAAGTCTTTTTTCAAAGACACACAGCAGTTCTTTAACAAACATTCTACATGTTGTTTAAGATTAATGAATTACTAACTTTGCAGAGTTAAGCATTCAAAAATGAAGAACAAATCAAGCTTGAAATGACAATCTCAATTCTGCCCTCATGCTTGTAATCTGTAGATTATAGCTTCTAACTGAAATAAACAATGCATATAATGTCACAGGGCTTTAAAGCAAATACATAATGAGAAAGACAGTTCTTAGAAATGCTATCACAGAATACATGTGTGCAAGGAGATAAGAGTTGAGCTTGGCTGCACAATCTTAGTTTCTGTACTTCTTGACTTTCCAGCTCTTAGTGTATCCTCTGATTCACACTTCCACAGTTTATATTTAGTCCTCTTAAATTGATACGAAAACTATTAAGTATCAGCTGGTAAAGGGCAGTTCAAGCTCATCAGTGTTATTCATCAATTGCATATATCCAGTAACCTTGATACCAACTAGCAAAAGAATCAAGAGTTTCTGGTTATGTTGAGACCTAGGTATTACTTTCACAACTGCAAACAAACATATGCTTAGGGACAACATTTTCAGTTATCTTCAGTTTATCCACTCAGACCCCTTGCTATCCATCCCCAAAGTGTGAGATCTTTTTTGCAAGCAGAATTTTCCAATTTATATGAATCTATACCCCTGAATCATCTTAGTAAGTTCAAACCAATCTAAGGTTTTTATAAAGAGCAAAATCACCATGAAGGCTCTATGGCCTGATTTACAAAGGTGCTGAGCTCCTGCAGTCTTAACTGAGGGCAATAGAAAGCTTTAGATGGCTCTATACTTCCAAAAATCTGTTTAAAGGATTATTAAAACTACAAAAACCTTTCAAAATTCTCACAGTTTGGAGGAGACATAGCAAAGGTGTGTCAAGAGGTGGAAATAAGTGCAGATGAGGAGGCAGCAATCATGTGGGATTGATGAGGTTTGTAAAACATTAAAAACTTCAGAAGGAAAAAAAATCTAACTTTTCTGTCTTCAAAGAAAATGAAGTCATCATGCTCAATCTTTCTTAAAATAAATAGATAACCAAGCCTTTCTTCAGAGAACAACCACGCAGACTGCTAGCCCAACAAATGTTTTAGAAGTTTGCCTAACAAATTTGTGAAGACAGTGGGTGATAATGGAAGCTGGTTCTCAACTTTGGTTTTAATTAGCACTTCCAGGCACCTTTTAAATCTCTACACAAATGAATTACAAAATATCTTTCTTGATTTGTTCATTCAAACCTCAATGAATGATTAATTTACTGTAAATATATGTATATGCATATACTGCTTTGTGACATCATATTACAAAGATACTGAAAGAATACTGTGCCCATATTATCTATGCTGGGAGGAAAAAAAAAAAGCTTCCAATTTTGCTCAGTGCAATGTTCTGAATGCTATGTGATAAAAAGAGCACCCTGGCAAGTGACAATAATTTATGAATTTTATTTGAAATTATTCTAAAAACAACAAACCAAGTCAACATTGGAGTCTTCTGTTGGTAACTGCAACAGAGTGGGAAAGAGGAGGGTGGGAAAAAGGGGGCCTTCTCTGTGATATTGGCTTAAGCTCTGTGAGTGGGTAAGAGATCTGGGGAGGGTCAGCAGCAGGGAAGAACAGTGGAACAGTAGGGAAGAACACGGTGCAGAAGCAGAGGGAAGCAGGAGGACCAGAGCAGCAAAGGGACTGGAGGACAGGAGGAATGTTAAGCAGCTATGGTGGTGGAACGCCTACTTCCAAGTACTGATCCAATTCACACACAGGTGGTATTTTTTTGGATACTTTGTAATTCTCTGCACATTTACAAATCTAACACCTTAAAATAAAGATAACCCATATGGCAGTGTAAGCCCCGCCAGCTCCTACCTGACACTTGTGAGGTCTCTCTGAGGTATGCACCTGTTTGATGTGTCCATTCAAGTGGTCTGGCCTTCAAAGAAAATACACATATGCACACTTGTAACAAATACTAACAGTAAATGTCCAATTTTAACAAAAAAAAAAAAAAAAAAAAAGACAATCCCTGTGGTGGATCTATTACAGATGTTGTGACATTTAACTTTCCAAGAACCAGATCACCAACAACTGGGACTCTACTTTAAGTACTCTCACCAACTTGCTAAAAGAGCAGCATTTTTCTTGCGAAGAAGCTCTGACTGAACAAACAAAGCAAACAGGAAATACAAGCTACCATTTTCAAACCTGCAGGTCCCCTTCCAAACTATTCAGACCTTGACCATGAGGGTGGTCAGGTTTACTGTTGCCAAATACTTGAAAATCAGCCCCTTCTGATTTATGTCCCAAACATAAATGTAGGAAGCCAACTTTAAGCACCTTTGTGCAAAAAGACTGACTCTACACTCTGTTGCTGTGACTTTCTCCATCAGCAAGACAAAAAAAAACCAAAACTGTCCTAACTCACAACGTTGTGGAGAGACTGTTAATCCAAATAAAGTGCTCTGAAGGTCCCAACTAGAAGGTGCAATGGAAGAGCAAATTATTACTGAAAAAAGTTAGACCATTCTTTGCAATTGGTAAAGCCTACTTTGAGAAGACTGAATAGCTGCAGATTTTCCTGACGGGAGTTTCTCTTAGGGGGAAGAAAGCTTTTCATTGTATGAGCCCAAAACTGCTTGGAAACAAGTTCTCCACCCTCTCCTCCCCCAGCTCTCCAGCTGCGCCAATGGGAGCGCGCAGGGTGGAATTCACGCACTGCGGACAGCAGAGCCCGAGCTGTGCTGCTGGAGCCGGCGCTGCGGTGGGCTGGGGCCGTGCAACCAGACAGACAGACGGACCGGGGTCCTCCCAGGTGCTGCCAGCCTGGCGGCCGCGCTGCTGCACTACTCGCTGGAGGAAAGGGCACTAAAGTCGGGCATCACGCTTCCAGCTTTCCTCTGACAGCTCCTGTAACTGAATACTGCATCTTAAGAAAGGTTCTCTACTTTCCATGCTTTGATTTTAAAAAGACAGATAGATCTTTTTGTGGTTTATTTTCTTAACGGTGTACCTGCTTGCTCACATTTTAAGTCATTGGAAACAAGGAGAACTCAACACGTATTTTTCACCTCCCCTTGTTGACAAAAATCTCTCGTACAGCAACAGTAAATTTTTAATCTTGAACAAAAATGATAAAAATTGGCAGTGATCACACATAGCGCTGTAGTAAAAAGCATAATTTGCTTTTAGCTCACATTTTCAGTTTATGACTTCTCATCACTAAATTTGCAGTCCTGAACAAGGAGCGTCCCCCTAATTATTGCTGATCTTAAAAAAGGGGGAAAAGAAGAAATCTGTGTTGCCTTAATTTATCCCAGGAACAAAAAGCTCTACTCTACCAACAGGAGAGCTAGCAGGCACACACTTCCCACGTGTACAGCTGGGAAAACTCTACCCCTGTCAGCTTTTGATTCATTGTCCTGTGTCAGATCCCTCTCTCCTGCTGAGTCAACAACTGCAGACAGAAGCAGAGTGCAGCTACGAGGGGAACACGGCATGGATGCACCCCCCACCCCCCAAGCTCCTAGCCTCAAACTTATATTAACTCCCACAAACAGTGACAACAAAAAAAGCAGCAACATTAAATGCACAGATCTTACGTATGTTGCAGGGCAGAAACAGGATCCCCTTCAGAAGGATGTAAACCCAAAGGACACAAAGATCATGTATTAAAAGATACTTGATGCTGCAGCCTTTGAAATCTCACCTCTTCCTTCACATTTGGGTGATAAAAAACATTACGAACTAAGAGAAATGAAGGGAAGTTAAGAAAAAAGAAAATTTAAAATGGATATACGAGAAAAATCATAAACTTGAGATGTACTAATATTTTGCACTTCAACAGCACCTTCCAACTACCTACAAATCAGGAGTCTCCAGACACTACAGTGAGACAGGCAGCTACTAGGGAGACCCACTTGTCAGAACTGTCATCTGAGGGAGGGACTGCCTGACGTGTACGTGGGTCTGGGACAGAGCTGGGGATGTTTACCCAGGAGCCAACTGACTCCCGGATCTGTGTCTTAATTACTCTTAGATCCTTTTGAGAGACTCAGTACAGCCTCCCAGCGGAAATGATGAAAGTCTCATTTCTCGAGACATTTTAAATTGGAACAGCCAAACTACCCTATGTACAAATTGTTCTGGTTTCCCAAGGGATGGGAAAGACAATTTCCTAGGTCTCTGTGTCTACGATCCTTGGAAGTTCTCTCTTACCTGGAAAAGCCTTTCCCGCAGCTCTGGCAGATGTAGGGCTTTCCCACTGAGCCATCGTGGGATCGAACATGATAGGACATCCTGTCTTTCCGCTTGAACCGTAACCCGCACACTGGACAAGAGTAAGGCTTCTCACCAGAGTGCGACAGCTTGTGCCGATTCAGGTGGTACACGTCCCGAAAGATCTTGCCACAGATGTCACATGCCACCTGTTTCCTTGTCCTGCTTCTTTTTCTGGGCGCATCGGGGTCGTCCTGGCCAGGGATGCCATTTTCACCCAGTCTGGGGGGTGGGATGTCTATGTAACCCAGCTGCAAGCTCGTCACCCCATGCTGAGCCTCGTGCTGACGAAGCCGATTGGCATCAGTGAAAACCTTTCCGCAGAGGCCACATGGCAGGATGCCAGCCTCCCGCAGTCCACCCGGGGCCCCGAACATCATGGAGTCCAAGAGGTTGGCTTTACGGGGACGGCCTCTGCCCCGCTTGGTACCTAAGGTGGGGGCACTAGCAGCAACATTCTGGAAGGGTGAGGCCAGCAGCGGCGGGGAGAGGGGTCCTGCCACCATGGGCAGGCGGTCCACACCCTGCAGCACAGGCAGGGAGGACTGTGCCGCGGTGAGCGCAGCCCGCGTGGCCTCGTCTTCGGGCATGCCTGCAATGCCATTGCCATTGGGCGCCAACGTGGCACCGTTGGTCATGTCGAGAGGGAAGCCGAGGTCAGCGGCCCCCGGGCGGAACAGCATGATGTCGGGGCGCGTGGGGGGCACGAGGATCTGCACGTTGGACTGCTTGATGACCTCCTGGCAGATGTCGATGACAGAGCGCATCAGCAGGAACTTGGCGGCCGTCATGAGCTCCGGGAAGCTCTCCAGCCGCACCACGATGCGCGAGGTATAGGCGAAGTCCAGGATGTCCCCGAACACCTTGGAGCTGATGGTGTGCATCTCCAGCTCCCGCCCCCCCCCGGGGGACCCGCCGCCTGCCGCCGAAGCTCCGCCGGCCGCCGCCGCCTCCGCCGAGCCCCCTTCTCCACCGCCGGCCGCTCCGTCGCCCGGCTGAGCGCTGAACACCGACTCGAAGTACTCGCTGCATGCTGCCAGCACCGCCCGGTGCGCCGGGAAGCTCTCGTCGCCCACACGCAGGAGCACGTCGCAGAAGCGGCCGCCGTTCTTGCGCTGCTGGTTGAGGCTGTGCAGCATGTCGGCGCTGTGCCGGCTCACCTGGTACGTGTAGCAGCCCGACGAGGGGCCGCAGGCGGCGGCCTCGCTCACCCGCTCCATGGGGCTGCGCCGCCCCGCTGGCGCCCGCAGGGGGCGCGCGCTCTCACGCCCGGCGGCGCGCGCCGCCTCCTGCTCCCCGCCCCTGTCCGGGCCGACGGCGGCGGCGCGCGCTGCGCTCCCTGCACAGCGCGAAGGGATGGCGGGGGGGGGCGAGACAAAAGGCTCGGGCGGCGGAGGGGCGCGCGCCGCGCGGGGCCGCCGCGGCCGCCGGCGCGGAAGCTCCGCCCGGGTCCGGCCGCCACGAGGCGCTGCGGCCGCGGAGGCCGCCGCGGGAAGGGGCGTGCGCGGCGCGGCGGCGGCGAGCGGGGAGGGAGGGGGCTCGGGCGGCCGCGGCTCCGGGCTGCCGGCTCCGTCCGTCCCTGTGTGTTTGGAGCGGAGGAAAGATGGCAGCGGCTGCACTTCCTCTTGCACTTTCACCCCTGGGGGGAGGAGAAGGAGGGGGCGATACCACCCCCCCTACAAAAATCCAGCGGGGGCCCCCCGGCCGCTGCTCCCCGACCGAGCGCCGCCGCCGCCGGCCCCGCGCCGGGCCCCGCCCGCTTCGCCGCACCCTCACCACCGGCGCCGCAAACTTTCCTCTCTCCTTCGGTCGAGAAGCCCCCCACCCTATTCGCGGAGACCCCCCCCTCCGGCCGCTCGGGCTCCCCCTGCCCCCCCGCTTCCTGCCCCCCTCCCTCCCCGCATCCGCCAATGCACGAGCAGCCAGCGCCAGCAGGCCGGCCCCCACCCCGCCCGCCCGCGGGGCCGGGGGCTGCAGCCTCCCCCTTCCCCGGCGCCTCTCCTCCAATGCCGAGCCGGCAGCCGGGCCCCCACCGCGACGCGGGGGGGCCGCGCTCGCCCCCTCCCCCAAATATCCGGGCCGCGCTCGCCCCCCGGGCCCCCTCCCACCGGGGAGAGGAGGGGCCGGGGGTGGGGGCGGTGGGGGTGCCGCGGGCGGCCTCCCCCTCCCCGGACCGATGCGAACCCGCCCGTAGCCGCAGAGCCGCGCGGCGGCCCCCCCCTCCCCCGCTCGCCCCACAGCCGCTCCGTGAGGGGCCGGGGGCTGCGGGGCGGCCCGACCTCCCTCCGCGCCCTCGTTGCCCTCGCGCTCCCTGTACCGGGACCCGCTCCCGGCACGACCCGGGGCAGGGAAGGGGCCGGAGGCGATCCCCGCGCTGCAGAAATGCCCCTCTCGGAGGGACCCGCGCTGGGGGCCGAGCCCCGCTCTGCCGGGGACCGCGGGGCGCGATCCCGGAGGCACCGCTGCGAGCGGGCTGTCCGGTGCTGAACCTCCCCGGGAGCGGCGCGAAGGGCTGCCGTGCCAGCATCAGCACCGTGTTCGCGTCCTGCCGAAATGCTCTTTCAATCTCCGAAGAATTTTTGCTTGCTTTTGAGGAAATACTCCCCCACCCCATCTCTGCACACACACTTAGAGAGTTCTTTGCTTTGTTACAGACGGCGCATTTCTAAAGCTTTCACGGGCACCTTTTAGCCTTTATAACATCGAGGCTAATTAAGAATCCTCGGATGACCTATTCACGATCCTGTACTGTCGCTTAAACTACTCACTGGAAAACACTGAACTTAGCACACACAGGAGCATCTCGAGCTGTAGTGCTTTCCAAGGGCTCCGACCTCGCACTGCAATCAAATGGTGGTGGGACTGAAAAAGTCTTCTGGTACTGATGTGCAAATGAGCACAATGAGCTTCCAAAGGGCAGCTTTTTTTCACGTTAACACTTAAGGCCGCGCAATGCCCTCAGTTTCTGCCCTGGATTTCTCTTGCTTTTGATGGAAGCCAGTTACACTGCAGGTACCTCCAGTGGCTCTTTACTGCTGCACTATGGATGCACACTCTGAGATACAAACGTGTTTTTGGAAATTGGAGGTTGTCTCAGTGCTAGCGATGCAGGGGAGCAGAGCTCACATACACTGCCTTACACAGATAATGCAGTGCCCTCATCCTGCAAGCCTGCCCGTGTGTCAGGGGAACAGAGTTGTACTTGCCATAGTGAAGAAAATGATTACATTTCAGCTTGCTGGCCAGGCTGCATGTACACACGGTCAGAGCAGCTAAAGGAGCTGGAATTTGCTGATCTCTCCTAGTGGCTCTCCGATCAGTTGTGTGCCTTCCCCTGATGGCTCATACCAGCTTATTAATTTGCTTTCTTTTAGTCCCCAGCCCCCTGCCACGGTTCCTGCTTCCTATTTCAGCTCCCCCCTTGCCTGCTCTTTGTCTCCGCGCTAGGCAGGGGGAGGGGGGCCCTGCCGCCCTCACTGCACTCACAACTTTCTCCAGTTGCCAGAGAATGTTCTGGTTTCAGCTTCCAGCCCTCCCGTTTAAAAAGCCCCATCCAACACACTCTGCTTCCTCAGGTTAATGCTGTTTACCCCAAAGCACGCGATTTTCCCCAAGGGACCCGCCCACACTCCCGTCGGAGTGCTGGAGAAGCGTGCCAGGAGCTCACACTGCGTCCATGCAGGGTGCAGTGAGGGATAACCCCAACGCTCCCTGATTTCCTCCCCAGCAAACACAGGACAGCAGCACAGCCACCAACCCCAGCACTTCACTGCTCTCGGACAGTAAGGGCTGCATCTTTAGGTTCTTTCACCTTTACCATGCTGCTCTCCCCCGCCCTTATGGCTTCACCCACTTGTCTGAACTTTTCCCAAGCTACTCCTGCCCCAGGACATGAGCCTATCAAAGCAATCATTCAGTTGGTACTTGCTACAGTGTAGCCAGATTTCTTCTATTTACAAGTAACCATACAATTTCTGCTTTACTAAGACAAAATGTGTACAAAAAGACTGGGAGGATGAAGTTCCCTAAGTGCGATGTGATGACTAAACGCCATTTCCCCACACTTAGCTATGCAAGCAGACAGGTGTGAGTGCCCATGGCCTCATCTGTCACCAAAACTAACCAGTTAATATCTTGAAGAGCAAGTTCTGGACAGTGAAAAGGAGTCTTACACGTGAAGAAAAAAATTACATTTTCACTATAAAGAATTCCTTCCCCTTTCCAGATGATTCCTAACCTACTTTCTCTCACATCTGCTGCACCTGGACCTGTTGAACTTCTTCTGAATTCCTCTCCTTAAAGAAAGGCATCTCCCTCGGCTACTTTATTCAGCTTCTCGCTGCTTCCTGTCTCACTTCAGCTCATGGGGATTGCTGAGCTGTCCCTAAATGTCTTGCAGCTGTTTGGTCCCTGCTGAAGTGCTCTGACTGGTATCTCAGCAGCACTGGAAATCCTTTCTCTCTGAACACGTGTGTACCACTTGGGTACACCATGCACTGCTCACTTTGCTGCAGATCAGTTGCTGCTGCCCTTACTTGGAAGCACTGACCTAAAAGTACGAACACTGCTCTGAAAGTAACGCCTCCTATTTCATTTTGTTGGCCCACAATGCTAGGTGTGGGTGTTGGTGGTACAGCAGTAGAGACAGAACCTTCCCACCAATATTCCATTGCATCCTGTTGCTGTGTGACAGATGGCAGCAGAGGGGCAGTCTGACAGAATGCCATCTGACATGGAGGTGCGCATGAAGCAAAGGTGTGTAACTGAATTCCTCCATGCAGAAACAAATGCACCCACTGACACCCACCAATGCTTGCTGAGACTTTCTGGAAACCAGAAGGCAGCTGTGAGCACAGTGAGGGGTGGGTGGTGCATTTCGGCACTGGTGACAGTGGCACTGGGTGTAGATTTTTACAAGCATGGCATGCAGGCTCATGTGAAAACACGCAGCTAATAGCAGTGACTGTGTTAACAAATAACATTTTTGTAGCTGAAAACTTGCTCTATGAAACAGTGCGATTGTGCATTCTGTATCTGTTGTTGTTTCCATGGAAATAAATAGGAGGCATTACTTTCAGAGCAACCTATGTAATTTGATCTACAAATATGGAGAAGCAAAGAAAGATTTTGGGACTGCTGCTATCTTTCAGAATAGTCTAAGGATATTCTTTAAGAAAGCTAATCACTATTCGACACTGCTTGTGATACTAAGATAGAAAATAGTATGCAACAGCACTTGTGCCAGCTAATTCAGCCATACCAATCATTTCCTTTTTGTGCATGCCACAGAAATATATCACGTTGGGCATTTCATGTCACACCTGCAAATTTCAGCCAGTAGCTGTCATTTTTTCCTGAGCTTTCACTTGAATTTTAATTAACTGAGACCAACCTAACAAGCAATTAATTCATTCAGTGCTTGTTGATTATTCTTCTATTTAGTTTTTAAAATTCACTCTTTTTTTTTTAAACTAGGAATCGTCCCATGAGAACGCTCACTCCAGCAGCACGGACTCAGCCTTGGAGGCAGCACAGTTTCCTCTGCAATCCAGATATGGGCTAGTGATTTGCCAGCCTTCTCCTTCAAAAGCAAAAAACCCTTGTTTAAAAATACCTGACATTTCACAAAAACTACAGCAACTGCTAGCAGAGAGGGATATGATGCTATGAAAAGTATGCAGTGAGAGTTATTCTGAAAAGGGGAAATTGCACTCTTTGCTTTTCCTCTTTTTGCTCACTCTCCTCACGGCACTGGGTGTTGTTTAATCCATCTGTTGCATGGCATTCCATGACAAAGTCTAAGGAGCTGATGCTAAACTGCAGAACGTTTTGTTGTTAATCTCATTTAAAGCAGCCTTTGAAGCCAACCTTTGCTACTTAATCTCTCTTTTGTTCCCCTCATTTCTTCACTCTGCCCATCTTAGCCTACTCTAGACTGTCTGGAACCAACCTGAGCCATTCAAAGACTGCTTCTCTGAGGATCTGGTCAAAATGGAAATACAACCTGGGCTTCCTGTTGGTCTAACAACTCCCCATGCATCAGGCATCCATGTGCAGCGACTTTCTCATGTAAAACATACTTTACAATGCAAACCCAAGCATGCAATGCAAGTAGTGAATGTTTGGTATTTACAGACTACTAGCTAAGTTACTGTGCTGCTCTGAGGACAACTTCTACATAAAAACCAAGTAAACAGGCATAAAAAAGTTAGTTCAGGGAGAC